TGTGTCCCTCCTGCTGCTGTGTTTCTCCTGCTGCTGTGGTGTGCTGTGTCCCTCCTGCTGTTGTGGTGTGTTGTGTCCTTCCTGCTGCTGTGGTGTGTTGTGTCCCTCCTGCTGCTGTGGTGTGCTGTGTATCTCCTGATGCTGTGGTGTGTTGTGTCCCTCCTGCTGCTGTGGTGTGCTGTGTACCTCCTGCCGCTGTGGTGTGCTGTGTCCCTCCTGCTGGTGTGGTGTGCTGTGTACCTCCTGCTGCTGTGGTGTGTTGTGTCCCTCCTGCTGCTGTGGTGTGTTGTGTCCCTCCTGCTGCTGTGGTGTGTTGTGTCCCTCCTGCTGCTGTGGTGTGCTGTGTCCCTCCTGCTGCTGTTGTGTGTTGTGTCCCTCCTGCTGCTGTGGTGTGTTGTGTCCCTCCTGCTGCTGTGGTGTTTTGTGTCCCTCCTGCTGCTGTGGTGTGTTGTGTCCCTCCTGCTGCTGTGGTGTGCTGTGTCCCTCCTGCTGCTGTGGTGTGCTGTGTCCCTCCTGCTGCTGTGGTGTGTTGTGTCCCTCCTGCTGCTGTGGTGTGCTGTGTCCCTCCTGCTGCTGTTGTGTGTTGTGTCCCTCCTGCTGCTGTGGTGTGTTGTGTCCTCCTGCTGCTGTGGTGTGTGTGTCCCTCCTGCTGCTGTGGTGTGTTGTGTCCCTCCTGCTGCTGTGGTGTGTTGTGTCCCTCCTGCTGCTGTGGTGTGCTGTGTCCCTCCTGCTGCTGTGGTGTGTTGTGTCCCTCCTGCTGCTGTGGTGTGTTGTGTCCCTCCTGCTGCTGTGGTGTGTTGTGTCCCTCCTGCTGCTGTGGTGTGTTGTGTCCCTCCTGCTGCTGTGGCGTGTTGTGTCCCTCCTGCTGCTGTGGTTGTGTTGTGTCTCCTCTGTTGTGTGGTGTGTTGTGTCCCTCCTGCTGCTGTGGTGTGTTGTGTCCCCCCTGCTGATGTGGTGTGCTGTGTCTCTCCTGCTGGTGTGGTGTGGTGTGCTGTGTCCCTCCTGCTGATGTGGTGTGCTGTGTCCCTCCTGCTGGTGTGGTGTGCTATGTCCCTTCTGCTGGTGTGGTGTGCTGTGTCCGTCCTGCTGCTGTGGTGTGCTGTGTCCCTCCTGCTGTTGTGGTGTGCTGTGTACCTCCTGCTGCTGTGGTGTGCTATGTCCCTCCTGCTGCTGTGGTGTGCTATGTCGCTCCTGCTGCTGTGGTGTGTTGTGTCCCTCCTGCTGCTGTGGTGTGTTGTGTCCCTCCTGCTGCTGTGGTGTGTTGTGTCCCTCCTGCTGCTGTGGTGTGTTGTGTCCCTCCTGCTGCTGTGGTGTGCTGTGTACCTCCTGCTGCTGTGGTGTGTTGTGTCCCTCCTGCTGGTGTGGTGTGTTGTGTACCTCCTGCTGCTGTGGTGTGTTGTGTCCCTCCTGCTGGTGTGGTGTGTTGTGTCCCTCCTGCTGCTGTGGTGTGTTGTGTCCCTCCTGCTGGTGTGGTGTGTTGTGTCCCTCCTGCTGCTGTGGTGTGTTGTGTCCCTCCTGCTGCTGTGGTGTGTTGTGTCCCTCCTGCTGCTGTGGTGTGTTGTGTCACCTCCTGCTGGTGTGGTGTGTTGTGTCCCTCCTGCTGGTGTGGTGTGTTGTGTCCTCCTGCTGCTGTGGTGTGTTGTGTCCCTCCTGCTGCTGTGGTGTGTTGTGTCCTCCTGCTGGTGTGGTGTGTTGTGTCCCTCCTGCTGGTGGTGTGTGTTGTTCCCTCCTGCTGCTGTGTTGTTTCCCTCCTGCTGCTGTGGTGTGTGTGTCCCTCCTGCTGCTGTGTTTCTCCTGCTGCTGTGGTGTGTTGTGTCCCTCCTGCTGCTGTGTTTCTCCTGCTGCTGTGGTGTGTTGTGTACCTCCTGCTGCTGTGTTTCTCCTGCTGCTGTGGTGTGTTGTGTCCCTCCTGCTGCTGTGTTTCTCCTGCTGCTGTGGTGTGTTGGCCTCCTGCTGCTGGTTTCTGCTGGTGTTTTTCCTGCTGCTGTGGTGTGTTGTGTCCCTCCTGCTGCTGTGTTTCTCCTGCTGCTGTGGTGTGTTGTGTACCTCCTGCTGCTGTGGTGTGTTGTGTCCCTCCTGCTGCTGTGGTGTGTTGTGTCCCTCCTGCTGCTGTGGTGTGTTATGTCCCTCCTGCTGCTGTGGTGTGTTGTGTCCCTCCTGCTGCTGTGGTGTGTTGTGTCCCTCCTGCTGCTGTGTTTCTCCTGCTGCTGTGGTGTGTTGTGTCCCTCCTGCTGCTGTGGTGTGTTGTGTCCCTCCTGCTGCTGTGTTTCTCCTGCTGCTGTGGTGTGTTGTGTCCCTCCTGCTGCTGTGGTGTGCTGTGTCCCTCCTGCTGCTGTGTTTCTCCTGCTGCTGTGGTGTGTTGTGTCCCTCCTGCTGCTGTGGTGTGTTATGTCCCTCCTGCTGCTGTGGTGTGTTATGTCCCTCCTGCTGCTGTGGTGTGTTGTGTCCCTCCTGCTGCTGTGGTGTGCTGTGTCCCTCCTGCTGCTGTGTTTCTCCTGCTGCTGTGGTGTGTTGTGTCCCTCCTGCTGGTGTGGTGTGTTGTGTCCCTCCTGCTGGTGTGGTGTGTTGTGTCCCTCCTGCTGCTGTGGTGTGTTGTGTCCCTCCTGCTGGTGTGGTGTGTTGTGTCCCTCCTGCTGCTGTGGTGTGTTGTGTCCCTCCTGCTGCTGTGGTGTGTTGTGTCCCTCCTGCTGCTGTGGTGTGCTGTGTCCCTCCTGCTGGTGTGGTGTGTTGTGTCCCTCCTGCTGGTGTGGTGTGTTGTGTCCCTCCTGCTGCTGTGGTGTGCTGTGTCCCTCCTGCTGGTGTGGTGTGTTGTGTCCCTCCTGCTGGTGTGGTGTGTTGTGTACCTCCTGCTGCTGTGGTGTGTTGTGTCCCTCCTGCTGGTGTGGTGTGTTGTGTCCCTCCTGCTGCTGTGGTGTGTTGTGTCCCTCCTGCTGGTGTGGTGTGTTGTGTCCCTCCTGCTGCTGTGGTGTGTTGTGTCCCTCCTGCTGCTGTGGTGTGTTGTGTCCCTCCTACTGCTGTGCTGTGCTATGTCCCTCCTGCTGCTGTGGTGTGTTGTGTCCCTCCTGCTGCTGTGGTGTGTTATGTCCCTCCTGCTGCTGTGGTGTGTTGTGTCCCTCCTGCTGCTGTGGTGTGTTATGTCCCTCCTGCTGTTGTGGTGTGTTGTGTCCCTTCTTCTGGTGTGGTGTGTTGTGTCCCTCCTGCTTCTGTAGTGTGCTGTGTCTCTCCTGCTGCTGTGGTGTGCTGTGTCCCTCCTGCTGCTGTGGTGTGCTGTACCACTCCTGCTGCTGTGGTGTGCTGTGCCACTCCTGCTGCTGTGGTGTGCTGTGCAAATCCTGCTGCTGTGGTGTGCTGTGTCCCTCCTGTTTTTGTGGTGTGGTGTCCCTACTGCTGTTGCTGTGCCACATCCGCTGTTTTGTTGTAGTGTGCTGTGTCCCTACTGCTGCAGTGTCCCTCTTGCTGATGTAGTGTGCTGTATCATTCCTACTGTGATGACAGCACTGTGTGCTGCTTCTGTTTCTGTGATGGTATATTTACTATTGCTACTGTATGGTGCTCTTGATGGCTCTATAATATTACAGTTGATGTGCTGCTAATTTTAAACTGTATCTACCGGGATGATGTTGCTGTGATGCTGCTGCGAATGTTTACTGGTATTCTTAGTGTGTCAAGTTACCAAGGTAATTTTTAATTTTTGCTGGCGAGCTGCTTGGAATTTTCAAGGGTGTTTGGTGAATGGAGTACATCGTTCCTGTAGCCAGTCAATAATATTTTGCATTTTTTTTTTATGTTTTACGGTCCTTGTTTTGTCTTCCCATGACCAGCTTGACGTCATCTGAGAGCAATTCCATATATGATTCTGGAACTAGGAGACAATTGACATATATCAATAAGAGTATTGGTCACAGTACCAGCTCTTGTGGTATTCTGCTGGTACCATACTCCAATTTTAAACTTTACTCTCACCATGATTCTGCTTTCTGTTGCTTATGCATTTCTTATATAATCTTCCACCTTCCTCGTTTTTTTCGTTTACTTTTTAAGTTTATGAACTAAAGACTTTCTAGTAGTCTATGACTATGCAGGCAGCCCATTCTATGTCCTGATTTATCAGTCTTACATTTATATTAGATGAAACATATTTTCCGTCTCTCAAGTCATGCTGCTGTTCAAGATGGTTTCCTGTTTTTTTTTATCTCTACTGACATATGGATGTCTGTCAGACTCTGGTGTCTGTCAGTGTTACAGCGTTGAGTTCATAACAAAAGGACCCCGACTCGGGTTCCTGATAGTGTGAGACAAATGGTGCTGCTGTTCCTGTTAGTGTTGCTGCTGTTAAGTAAGTTTATTCAGGTATACACAAATACATTTGCATAGATTATCATACATAATATATATGTAGAGAACCTAGGATAACCCAAAAAAGTCAGACTTATTTCCACTACCAACATTATTACATGACTCACGAAATCGTAATGACACATTTAAAAGTTGAAAATAGGTAAGTTTTTAACTATTATCAAGGGAATGGCTTATATCATATATGAAGATCCGGTCTTTTTGAGAAATCACGTATTATTTCCTTTTATAAAATATAAACATGCTATCAGTACCCCGGCACAAATTATTTCTTGTGGAAATTGTTATTTTGAGAGATATTAGCAAAACTATCACAATTATTTTAGGATGTTCTGCACGTCAAGGCAAATCAGCATTTAATATTGGCGCTTTTGGACGAACATCAATAAAGGTGAGCTAGTCCCATATCTATCGCTGTCAGAGTAAGTTTATGTAAGGGTGGGAAGTTTAAGTTTATTTAGGTACATGGGCAGGTGATGGGGAATCTGGGGAAGGTTAGGGACGGTAGGGGATGTTTGGTGTGGAAAGGTAGAGCTTTGGGGAAAATTTAAGAGGATGAGAGAAGTTTGGATAAGGATGGAAGTTTGAGAGGATGGTGGGGGAAGTTTGGGAAAGTGGTGGGGGATGTTTGAGTGTTGGCGGGGAAAGGGGGAGGAAGCAGAGGGTATTTAAGAGGTGGCGGCAGCGGCGCAGGTCCCTGTTACCGTCGAGTCTAGCGCCAACACGGACCTCTGTGATACTTGTCTCTGCTTCACTCTACACGCTAACCATGACTTCCAAGCCTCCTTTCAAAGTTGGTGGGTGACTGGTGTGATAAGCAGTGGTAGTAACGGGTGTATTAACGCCCATTTGGGCGTGGGTGAGACATTTGTCACCATAGAGTGCCACATGAGCTCATCGAGCACCCTGACGCTTTCAAATCACCCCTGAAACAAGCCAGATTCTTCTGTGATTTAATATTTTATGTGATGCTGTATTCTTAACCGGCTCGGGACGTGGTTTAGTTAGTGATCTTGTTCTGTAAGAATGTTGAGTGGTGTAGAAGGTACACTAACTTGGTGGCATTAGCCGCTTCCTCTCAAATTCTATATATCGCTACTCTTAATACACCTTCCAAGGGTAAAGGGGAAATACTTTGATTCCGGCGAAGTGCTCTTCATCCAAGGAATTTGAGCTATCCTTTTCCGATCAAACCAATTTGCTTCCATAGGTTTTGTACGAGACTCGGAAGTTTAGCGCCTTCCCACTGAAATAACACTGGATTTATAGTTGTCTCAAGTGTCTCCCCTCAAGGAAGGTTCCTTGATGTTGGTGAGGGGCTCTTGATTTAGGGAATTGGATCTGTGCTCCAGTTCCCCGAATTAAGCCTGAATACCTTCCACATCCCCCCCCCCCCAGGCGCCGTACAATCCTCCGCGTTTAGCGCTTCCCCCTTGATTATAAATAATAATAATAATAATAATAATAATAATAATAATCTCAAGTGTCTTTTCTAAGATCAAGTGGCTAGTTAAGGAGCAGTCAAGAATGTTCACTTGGTATTGAATTGATCTCTCGCTCATATATATTATATAATTGTCCATAAGATAAGATAGTACCTCAGGTTGTTTTCTTGATAGGATCATATCGGCATCATATTTCATTACATAATTATTATATTATTCATTTATGTGTTCTACATTTAGGAAATTGTGTAAAAAAAAGTTTCCAAAGTTGTGAAATTTTTATCATTTGACCTCCGGTGCTGTATGACCCATGCGGGTTTAGTGCTTAGTTTTGATTATAATAGCATTTGGCCTGTTAAATATATATTCCGACAGAAGTAAGCTCAGACCTTGAACAATTTATTTCAGTATTATAATTGGGAACACCTGTGTTGTCCTAGTTTATAATTTGCACAAACAGCAAACTTTAGCAGTGTGCTGTATATAATGTAAAGGTTAAATTAACTATTACAGATTAAATGTTTTTATAAATTACTATTATTCAAGTTTATTTTCTAATATTAATCGCTATATTATAGAAAATAGCAATATTTTATAAAAATTTAACCTGAGATAACTAATTAAAGCCAAATATTTGTTTACCACAAGGTAATGATAATCTTTTGTTTAAATTTAATTAACTGATAATATATTGACTTGTGATTACATGTATATTATAAACATGAGTCCTTTAATGCAACTTTATAATTTCAGCCGACATCAATCTAGCCGACTTTGGTCGCAAGGAAATAATCATGGCAGAGAAAGAAATGCCAGGACTAATGAGTCTGCGCAAGAAGTATGGGGCAGAGAAGCCACTGAAGGGTGCTAGAGTGGCAGGCTGTCTCCATATGACCATCCAGACAGCTGTACTCATTGAAACACTTGTGAGTGATAGTTTATAATTTTTTACTTTTCTCAGGTTAAATCTGCAAGTAATTTTTTTGCTGACTGTGTCAGCAGACAGTTTAGTTTTTCAATGAGTTGTACAGTATACAGAGGTAATTAGAATACAGTAGTAATCTATACTGAAAACTTTATAATAGTCTTGTATTAAATATTTTCAAAGTAGAATATACTGTACAATACCATATATTTCTCAAAGTATATCGTAATAATTTTGGTTGGGGTTAAATTCACTGGTACAGTAGTAGTGTTTTACACTAGGTACTTGATGATAATGTATGTCTTTCTATTTTGAGTAATGAACATGTATATCATTGAGTATTTCTCCATGGGGAAGTGGAGAACAATCCTTCCTCAGTGCGTGTCATAAGAGGCGACTAAAATGCCAGGACCAAAGGGATAGTAACCCCTACTGTATAAATTACTAAATTTAAAAGAAAACTTTCTTTTAGGTCACCCTGCCTTGGTGGGAGATGGCTGTTGTGTTAAAAAAAAAAAAGCACAGTAATGTATGTTGTATTATTTTGACTTGTACGTGTGTATCAGTCTGCCTTTTTATTTTTTGGGGGGTTATCCTAGGTAATCTGCAGTTATTAGGTATGATAATTGTACTTTTGCACCTGTGCCTAAATACTTAAAAAGAAAAGGTAAAATTTGTTTTAATGGCACACTAACTGAAATTGTACAGGTAAATTACCGAACAGTACAAATAAATTGTCTTGACAAATTTATCCGGATAAATCTGCAGAATATCCGTTTCCTAAGAAGTTAGTTACAATAGGTCAACTGTACTTCTTTTGCAAGGAAAAGCCCATAGCTATGCATAGCATTTTAGGCAATCCAAAGCTAGGATTGATAATATGCTAATAGGGTAAGAATAAATATATTGGTCAGTGTATAAATGTAAGTCTTTAACCCTTAAATGGTCCAAACGTATTACCTGGAGTTTACCTGGAGAGAGTTCCGGGGGTCAATGCCCCCGTGGCCCGGTCTGTGACCAGGCCTCCTGGTGGATCAGAGCCTGATCAACCAGGCTGTTGCTGCTGGCTGCACGCAAACCAACGTACGAGCCACAGCCCGGCTGATCAGGAACTGACTTTAGGTGCTTGTCCAGTGCCAGCTTGAAGACTGCCAGGGGTCTGTTGGTAATCCCCCTTATGTGTGCTGGGAGGCAGTTGAACAGTATATATGTTTTTTCAACATCTGAAAGTATGTAAAAAAATGTAGATCTTTTTTTTTACATTTGAAAATGTGTAAAAAAACTTTTATCTACATTTTTTTTTGTTATATTTGAAAATATGTAAAAAAAAGTAGATCTACTTTTGTAGCACTACGAATTTGAATGTCTATTTCTTTGGACCATTTAAGGGTTAAAATATAAAATGCAAATTTGAGTGAAAAATTGAGTATTTAGTGAAAATTTATTAATTTAACCCCTTGACTGTCGCAACCCCCAATCCTGAGGTGTCTCCTGGTGTCGCAAAATTTAAAAAAAAAAAAATTATTTCTTATGAAATGATAGAGAAGCTTTTCCCGATTGTAATGACACACAAAAAAAGCGAAATTTGATGGAAAACTGACGGAATTATGCTCTCGCGAAGTTAGCGAGCTCGGCGATATTTACAAATCGGCTATTTCGCCCACTTTGAGCCCTATTTTTGGCTAATTCCGTTGTTCCAGTCGACCAAACTCATAGCTGTTTCTTTAGAACTCCATTTTTTCTATCGATTAAGTACAAGAAACTGCCCATTTACCGATTTTAACTACCCAATAATGTGGTCAGAAATTTGCAATTTGGCCAATTTCACAAAAATTAAAAAATATGACAATTTCAAAATAAGGTCCAGAATGAACAATGCAGACATTCCTGGCTCTAAAATAACATTTTCTTTGTTCATCAGTCATGTCTCCAGGCCCCTCTGATATTACTCTTGCTTTCTATTTTGAATTTTTATTCAAACAAAAAAACAGAAGACTTACTATTATGCAGACTACTGCAATACTGTAATAATTGTATAAATAACATCAACCCATTCATGACTGCATATTAGAATGGCTAGTTGGACATTTATTGGACAATGACATCATTTGTTTACTTTTGAACTTTGAGCTCCATTTCCAGGTTCTTTTTATAGTAAAATCAATCAAAATCACCTCTATTTCTATAATAAGTTTTCCATTCTATTAAATGAGACCAAGAAAACGAGAATACAACCATAAATACTATACGAAAATAGACCACAAAGTCGGCATTTTAATAAAAAAAAACGGTCTGAGTTTTTTTTTCTCATTATGCACTGCGTGCTGCAGGATTTTTTTTAGATGGTGCACACTGACCACACAGACCTATTCTCTCACATGTGGGCCTACCAGCTTTCTCCTGCTTGATTTGAAGCTGCTAGAATTTGAGTGTATATGCGTCAAACACGGCACCTCGTAAGACGTATATGTACTGCCGCGACAGTCAAAGGGTTAATGTTTAATTCAAACTTAATTTCAAAGAGAATTAAAAAACTGTAATAATGGTGTATTAAGCCTAAACTAATACATACATTAAACACACAAATTGTTGAGGTTTGTTTGATTTCATTTTAATGTTTTTTAATTCATCCAGCCAGTTATGTATTCCACATTTTTGGCCCTCTTATTTTTTATAGTTTCCATTGAGGTTTGGGCAACAAAAAATATATCAGATACATGCATGTCTCACTTTATGCAATAGGTGCTCTCCAGACCGTTGGCGCATAAAGAAAATTATACTTAACGTGTAAAAGATACATTTAGTAAGTTTATTCAGGTATAGGTACACAAAAAGTTACATAAATTGTCATACATAGCAGCACCATGTATAGATTACCTAGGATAACCCAAAAGAGTCAGTGACTTGTTTTTAGTTATGTCCTTGATTTCCATTCAGATACTTGGTATTTCCATATCTCTTGACTTACGAATTTTGTTTAAAAAAAAAGGTGAGTAGGACCTGCATAGCATGTGCCACTAAGCCTACTTTCCTGTTTAGGAAAACAATGGTTGTACAGTAGTTGTGTAAGAGTGGGAATGACTGGGAAGAGTAGGACTTGCCTAGTACTGGCCAGTAGGCCTGCTGTAATGCTTTTTTGTTAGTATAAGCCAGTGATTGTGTGTGAGTGAGGTGAAAGTGTTGAATGACGAAAGTATTTTCTTTTTGGAGATTTTTTTCTTTTTGGGTCACCCTGCCTTGGCGGGAGACAGCCGACTTGTTAAAAAAAAAAAAGCCAGTTTAGTTATATTTAATGAGATGGCTAAAAGTAGTGCTGGGCTTGGTTGATCATTCGAGAGGAAATTCATACTGCATATAGTGAATTGGTAGATATAGCATTACCAAATATGGGTAAAAACTGCATAAAGTATGGGAAACTTCTTAGTGTAATATTTGTTAAAGTATTCCAGGAAGTGTTTTAAGTTGCATAAGCATTGGTTTAGTATTTAATGTGAACTGTAGTATGTGTAACATTAATATTTAGTAGGTTTAGGGATTTGCATTAGGTTGCTGTGGGTTTAACATTTGAGCTTGATGGTTGTGAGTGGTTTAAGTACTTTAAAGTGTGGTTGTTTTTGTGGTACGTATTCATAATAGTTTCCTTTCTTCTGCAGCTACATTTAAAGAGTATTGTATCAGACTATTGAAGCTGTATTTTTACTAGGTAATCTGGAAGACCAGAATCTTTCAGGCTATTCATGGTGCTAGGATGAACTTGACATGACTCATGAAATCGTAATGACGATTGCAAACAAACCAAGGTACAGGCGGGGATTAAACTTGCAGCAAGCGAGTCTTAAAACTCAAGGCCAGATAAAATTGTTTGGCATTTTATTTGCAGTACTGCAGCATATCTTCATTATTTACCTATAGCCTTTAGTATGTTACACGTGTTGTTTAAAAGAAAGTAGTACCTTCCTAAAGTACAATGTACGTATAGGTAATAAATCCCAAACCATACCCCCGGCCGGGATTGAACCCGCGGTCAGTCTCGAAACTCCAGCCCGTCGCGTTAGCCACTAGACCAGCTAGCCACAATAAGATTCATCCAACTAGGTATATGACCGCGGGTTCAATCCTGGCCGGGGGTATGGTTTGTTTGCAGTCGTGTCATTACGATTTCTTGAGTCGTAATAAATCCCATTTTGTCAGACTGAGCTTGGGGCAGAAGTTCAGTGGTCATCATGCAACATCTTTAGTACTCAGGACCACGCAGCAGCAGCCATCGCCAAATCTGGTGTACCAGTGTATGCCTGGAAAGGTGAAACTGATGAAGAGTACATTTGGTGCATTGAACAAACGCTAATATTCTCCGATGGACAAGTAAGAGTGCCATATTTATGTAACATTTTGGTGTAAATATTATAAATTTTTGGTATGACAAATTTAGAGATGCTACTGAAATGCAGGCACACTTTTAGTCAAGTTAGCCAAGATTTGTCATACATGGAGTGAAGGCTGAATGGGGTACCAATCATAAGTGGCATTCTACAAGGATGTTTTGGGTCCCTTGTTCATATTCTTCATTAATAGCCTTGAATTGACACGACTTTCCTGACACAAAAATAGAGTAATGAATTTGAAGGATACAGTAGAACTTGAAAATAATTTGGACAAATTAATGCTAAGGTTAAACAAGCAGTAACTGGAGATCAATGAAGAAAATGCAAAGTATTAATCCTTAGGAATAAAAATAAACTCTAGCACCTATAAATTCTGGTAGCTTGGAAGATAGCTACTACCAACAAATGTGCACACTCAACATAGGAAAGAGGGAGATTTTCTAGTGAAAGTAGGCCTTAGACAGGGATGTGTGATGTTATCATGGTTGTTTAACATATTTACAGATGGGGTTGTAAAAGAAGTGAATACTAATGTGGGATTGAAAGATCATGACTCTGTACCAGAGTGGGAGTTGTCAATTGCATTTTGCCAGTGACATGGTGCTTTTGGGAGGTTCTTTAGAGAACTTGCAATGATTAGTAGATGAATTTGGGATAGTATGTAAAAAAAAAAATTAAAAGTAAGCAAGAAAAGTGCAAGGTGATGAGGATAACAAAATAAATTTAGGTAATGTAAGCATGGATATTAGATTGGAAGAAGGTAATATGGATGAAATGTATATCCTGATATTTGGGAGTGAGCCTGTTAGCCAGTGGGTCTGTGAAAGATGAGGTGATCAATAGAACTGATGAAGGGAGTAGGGTGGGTGGTGTATTGAGGCATCTGTGGAGACAAAGAACATTGTTCATGGAGGCAAAAATGTATAAGTGGTACCAACACTTGCATTGTGCGAAGCATAGGTTATGAAAGTTGCAGCAAGGTGGAGGGTTTGGAGATGTTGTCTGAGGGCAATGTGTGCAGAGAATTTGTAGTTTGGAGATTAGAAAGAGGTGCAGGGTTACTAAGAGTATTATCCAGAGGGTTGAGGAGGGGTTGTTGAGGTGGTTTGGACATTTTGAGAGGATAGAAGAAAAACAGGATGACTGGGAGGTTGTATAGATCTAGGGGTCATCCAAGGAAAGGGTGGACAAACTGGGTAAAGGGACTTGGATGTCCAGGTTGTTAGATAAGAGTGAATGAAGGCAAGTAGTTTTTATGATTTGGCATACTGTTGGAGTGAACAAGATAACATTTATAAAGGGATTCAGGGAGACTGATTAGCCAGACTTTTGCCCTGGAGGTGGGAAGGACAGTGCCTGTTCTCTGAAACTGGTGGGGGATATTCACAGTTTGGAGGGGCATTTAAGCTGTAGTGTTGGCACACCTCTATCAAGATAGTGGGTTTTTTTTTTTTTTTTTTTTTTGGGGGGGGGGGGGGGTCACCCTGCCTTGGCAGGAGACGACCAGTGAGTTAAGTACAAAAAAAAATCATGTGCACTGTGATGCTGAAATCATAGCCCAGATGACCCTCTGAACTAAAACATCTTGACTCCTATAGAATGCAGGTAGTACTATATTTCCAACCTCCAGGGCTCAAGTCTGTGTATGTATATTTATGTAATGTACATTTTTCCATTTACTAATCTACTAAACCTGAATTTTAGATTTTTTTCAGTTTTGCCTTTTTTTTTTTTTTTTTTTTTTTTTTCCCCCCCCCTTAGAATTAAGTACAGCCTCTCCTTGCTTAACGACGTACTCGTTTACTGATGCCTCGGACTTATGACAGCCTCTTTGACCAGCATTCATACCTATATGTATATTAGAGCTTATTTCCTCTATTCGGTTTATTTCAGTATACAGTACACTACTGTGTAAACATTTAAAAATATACCAGAAATGTTATAAATAGTACAAATGTGACACTAAAACAATATCAAAGATGGTTGACACACTCACTACCATTCTAGTATTCTCCTCACTTAGCGACGAATTCATTTAACGACGTGGTCTCAGGAACTGAACTCTGTCATTAAGTGAGGAGAGGCTGTACTAATGTTAGTAATAAATAGGGGTTCATGAATATAATGCTCCAAATATGACAGACAACTCTTAACAGTGGATTCATACTGGTAAGCTCAGTTTTGGAGGTGGCAAGTAAAATGCCTGCACACTTTTAAAGGAAGGATTTGGGATATTTGCTATTTGGCGTGACGTCTGAACTGTCATCTGTGTGCCTCTGCAAAGACAGTGATTGTGTGAATGATTTTTTTTTTTTTTTTGGGGGGGGGGGGGGACTTACCTTGGTGGGAGGCAGCCAGCATGTTGGAAAAAAAGGTAAAAAAAAATGGATTTGGTAAAAGCTTGAAGTGAATGGAACAAATTTGCCAAGAAGCAGCATTAAATCAGTTAGTTGGGGGGCTTTGAAAATAGGTTGAATAAATACATGGGTGAGTGGTGGAGCATGAGTAGTACTTTAATGTGAGCCAGTAGGCCTACTGTAGTGCAGTTTTCATGTAGGTTGGAGCTGAAAGAAATGCACAGTACTTGTTCAGTCATGACTGCAATGGTATAAAGCCTCATTTCTTCCCTCTCCTTGTCCTTTATGCTTCCTCACATTTTTTCTAAATTTCTTCAGTGAAACACTGTACTGTCTGATGCTAGATCATGTAACAAGGAAGTGTGATTGAACTTTAAGACTTGGTTTCTCTTGAATCATTTAGTGACTGAAAAGGTCAGTGCGTTTTTATTTTTAGATAAGGATAGGTCATATGGTTTTATAATTTATCACCCTAGGAGTTTGATAATCCTCCTGATAAATAATATATTGCATTTTGAAAAGATAGTAAGATGTTGACTGTTTAGTAAAGTTGGGTTATTCACATAGAGGCAAGGGCTAAATGTTTTTTAGCATGAGATAAGCCTTCAACTAGAAAATGGTTGAAAGATTGATGTACCTCCACTCCCTTCACTTACTCCCTCCAAAAAAAAAAATTTTTTTTTTTTGGTGCTTAATTTATGCTACTTTGCTAAACTTGAAATGTCAAGGGCAGTTATTAAAAAAATTCTCAGGTAATAACTCTACTAAATGGTAATAAAAACTAAGCCTAATGACAATGTTGACAAAAGTGTGTATTTGCTTCTTTGCAAGCAATATCTGGATACAGTGTATAAGAGGCATTTGAAAGGTATGGGGGGGGGTTATGGTAATTTCAATAAGACTGGCACTGAGGGATGTATAAGAAGCCCGATAGTCTGACACTAAACTGGAAAAACTTGAATGGGGGTTGTATTTGATGGAAACTACTCTGTTAAGACAGTGGATAAGAAGGGAAGGGGTTGCAATATTGTTAAACAATAAATGCTTCTGAAATTAAAATCCAAAGCACAATGTTGAAATTAGTGTTAGAAATTGAAAATGATAAAAAAAAAAATTAGTAGTCAGTGTATACAATCCACCATTTAACCTTTCACTGTTGACATCTTTCGTTAATTGAGCCTCTTGTCACCATTTAAAAAAATTATCTTTAAATGTCATTACCTTTTAGAAAGATTCTGACATCAAATTCCACAGGCATGAATTTGGAGGTTGGGGAGCACTGTACATAATTGGATCCACTGAAGCCTAGCCTCAGTGGACCCAATTCCTGGCTATTTCACTAATATTTCTTCTGTACTATACATTGTTTACAAGAAAATGGCCAATCATCCATCAGAGCTCACCTATTAAGTGGCAGTTTAACTAATTTACACTTTCAGCAAATTCCAGTTTAAAAAAGTATGAAATAATCACTGTAGGCCCTCCATCTTGAATCTGTGGTGACACAAAATTTAGACTTCTTTTTCCCTATTTCTAGGCTGTTAAACCATGGTTTAGGGCATCTTGATAATTAAAGTATACCTAGTAAAAATCCATAAAACAGACTGGAAGGGTGGTGGTAGGTGCCCTTACTCTTCAGAAAATCTAAAAAAAAATCCACCATTTTTGCGACCTTGAGGCCTATTTCAGTCTGTATACAATCTGAAACACAATCTTCATTTCACTATTGTCTTTGTTAATATATTGAAACCATGAAGTCCTGAAAGTTTATTTTAACCTATATGCTGAGTCAGGGGTTAGTTGTTTGTGCACTGCGTGAGGCAGGATTTCTTTATACTGTGCATACCTATTGCACAGATCCATTCTCTTGAAATTTGCAGCTCGGCAAATTTGAGGGTACAGTACTATGAATTGTGCTAGATCTAAGTGTGCAACACTGATCTCATGGATGTAGATCTACATGACTGACAGTGAGTTAATAAGACCTGAGAGAGAGAAATTTGACAAGATAAATCTGGAATTAATATAATATGGGAACTGTTGATGAAAAATGAGATAATAAAAATGTTGTCTTTGGATATTTAAAAAAAAAAAATAAATTCGGCAACCTATGCGGCTGGAACTGTAAATAAAGGGTCAAATGCTCCTGAATGTGATAATAGGTTTTTTTATGCATTAGCTGATATTTACTTGCACAAATGAAATTTTTAACGTGAGCTATCTTGGAAAGTCACCATGTTTTATTGTGATGAACATGTACTGTTATTTATATGAGCAGTGAGGGTTCTGTAATTTTTTCAGATCTGTCATTGTTTGTCTACCTGAAATGGGGAAGTTAGTTTACAGCAGTGTTTCAGTCCGGAGAGCACTATATACTCAAGAGTATCATTATAGGCTTTAGTTCATAAATTAATTTAGATTTGTTACTCTTACCATTTTTAAATAGCTGACCATGGCCTATAATGTTTTAAGAAATGGTAATCTATGTCCAATACATGTCTATTTTTTCTAATTGGCAGCCATTGAACATGATTCTTGATGATGGAGGTGACCTGACCAACCTTGTCCATGAGAAACATCCAAACCTACTGGCTGATATTAAGGGCTTGTCAGAAGAGACAACCACAGGTGTTCACAACTTGTACAAAATGATGCGTGAAGGCAAACTAAAGGTTCCAGCCTTCAATGTTAATGATTCTGTTACCAAGGTAAGCCAAAGTTTAGTGTATAAAATGTTCTTTTGTATAAAAAAAGAAAAGCTGAATCTATAAGGTGGAAATGTCTTTGTTTTAATTCATAAAGCAAATGCAGAATCATTAATATATTGTAACTTTCCTTAACAGAGCAAGTTTGATAATCTGTATGGCTGTCGAGAATCGCTGACTGATGGCATAAAGAGAGCAACTGATATTATGTTAGCTGGCAAGACCTGTGTTGTTGCTGGATATGGTGATGTGGGTAAGGGTTCAGCCCAATCACTTCGTGCATTTGGCGCTAGAGTGCTCATAACGGAGATTGATCCTATCAATGCTCTACAAGCTGCATGTGAAGGTTACCAAGTAAGTCTCCTGTATGGGAACATAGTGGGACTGCTATGAGTATGTTTACTGAAAGCACTAAAACCACGTGGGTAATTCACATTGCACAGAAGAGTGAGATGGATATGGAGGTTTGAGGGAAGAACATTGGTAGAAAAGATAGGGGTCGCAGTTGATGTAGCAAAGCATTATTGGTTCAGATAATCTATTTATGATGGGATGCTTTGGGAGGAGGACACAGGCTAGCAGTTGCAATTAGCAGATTCATTTAAAGACATTATTCCATAAATTCACTGTTGGTAGTTTTAAATTAATCAGGATTTGATGGAATGGTACAAAGAATTTTAAAATGAGTGAAGTATTGTGCAAGCTATTCACACATACATAATCCACATTACAACATCTGGTTCTGATGAGAGCTTAAAGGCAGTTATTTTCTGGAAGGTAGAGGTACCACAAATAGTATGTGTTGGATGCATGAAAAAGGAAACTAGTATAAATTTGGATAAAACCCTTTCACTTCAATGGAGAGATGATAATCATTAATAATTAGGTGCCTCACTGGTAAGATGGGATAAAATACTGTTATGCAGACTACTGCAGTATTGTATAAATGTCAGCCCATTCGTGACTGCGTATTAGAATGGCCAGTTGGACATTTATTGGACAATGTCATTTGTTTACTCTTGAACATTGGCATAAACTGAACATTTCCGATACTTTGAGCTCCATTTCAAGGTCCTTTTCATCGTGAAACCAATCAAAATCATCTCTATTTCTATAATGTGTATACCATTCTATCAAATGAGACAAAGAAAATGGGAATACAGCCATAAACACTATACAAAAATACAGTGGACCCCCGCATAGCGACTTTAATCCGTGCAAGAGGGCTCATTGTTATGCGAAATGATCGGTATGCGAATGAATTTTCCCCATAAGAAATAATGGAAATCAAATTAATCCGTGCAAGACAACCAAAAGTATGAAAAAAAAATTTTACCACATGAAATATACATTTTCCTACACACAAAGAGAAGGATACATGCACAATAGTAGAGTAGTACATGCACAATATATATTGTGCATGTACTACTCTACTAAATGAAGAATAAATGACACTTACCTTTATTGTCACCCTGCCTCGGTGGGAGACGACCGACTTGTTGAAAAAAAAAAAAAAAAAAACTTTATTGAAGATGCAGCAATGACTGATGAGACACTGTGTCCTGGGAGTGCCTTTTCCTCCTGAGTACTGTAGGTCCTGTTTGGCATTTTCTTCCAGAACAGGCCTTATCACACTGTGTATGCCACTACGATTCTTAAATCTCTCAAACCAACCTTTGCTGGCTTTAAATTCACCAATATGAGCACTAGTTCCAGGCATTTTTCCCTGTTCACCTGGGTGTTGGTCAACTGGTGTGGGTTGCATCCTGGGAGACAAGATTAAGGACCCCAATGGAAATAAGTTAGACAGTCTTCGATGACACTGACTTTTTTGGGTTATCCTGGGTGGCAAATCCTCTGGGGTTAATTGTTTCTTGGTATTCTCAATAAGCCACACCAACAACGGTGCTACAGCAGCAGCAGCAGCAGCAGCAGCAGCTGACGGTGCTACAGCAGCAGCAGCAGCTGACGATGCTACAGCAGCAGCAGCAGCAGCTGACGATGCTACAGCAGCAGCAGACGGTACTACAGCGGCAGCTGACGGTGGTACAGCGGCAGCTGACGGTGGTACAGCGGCAGCTGACGGTGGTACAGCAGCAGCTGACAGTGCTACAGCAGCAGCAGACGATGCTACAGCAGCAGCAGACGGTACTACAGCAGCAGCTGACGGTGGTACAGCAGCAGCAGCAGCAGCAGCTGACAGTGCTACAGCAGCAGCAGACGATGCTACAGCAGCAGCAGATGGTACTACAGCAGCAGCAGACGGTACTACAGCAGCAGCAGCAGCTGACGGTGGTACAACAGCAGCAGCAGCTGACGGTGGTACAACAGCAGCAGCAGCTGACGGTGGTACAACAGCAGCAGCAGCTGACGGTGGTACAAACAGCAGCAGCAGCTGACGGTGGTACAACAGCAGCAGCAGCTGACGGTGGTACAACAGCAGCAGCAGCTGACGGTGGTACAACAGCAGCAGCAGCTGACGGTGGTACAACAGCAGCAGCAGCTGACGGTGGTACAACAGCAGCAGCAGCTGACGGTGGTACAACAGCAGCAGCAGCTGACGGTGGTACAACAGCAGCAGCAGCTGACGGTGGTACAACAGCAGCAGCAGCTGACGGTGGTACAACAGCAGCAGCAGCTGACGGTGGTACAACAGCAGCAGCAGCTGACGGTGGTACAAAGCACAGTGCGGTGTACACAGCAGCCAGCTGACGGTGGTACAACAGCAGCAGCAGCTGTACCACCAATAGTAGCGATGGTTGATTGGGGTTTATTATACAACCTGGCCAGCTCGGAGACACGCACTCCACTTTCATACTTATCAATGATCTTTTTCTTCATCTCTATAGTAATTCTCACCCTTATTGCTGTAGGGTTGGCACTAGCTTTCTTGGGGCCCATGGTCACTTATTTTGCAGATAAAATCACCAAAAACACTGTAATAATACGAAATGTTCCGATTGTATGCTTGGATGTTACCGCGGAGGCTGGCTGGTAAACAATGCCACCGGCGGCACATGTGAGGCTGGCTAAGGGCGCACATTGGATGCGTCTCGGACGAACAGTGGCGAGCGGGTTTTTGAGCGGTATGCGAGGCAAAATTTTTGCGATAAAAGCGAGCGGTATGCGGATTAAACGTTATGTGATGCCGACGGTATGCGGGGCTCCACTGTACATCTCAGTCCGTGTTTTAATCCAAAAAGTCAGATTTTTCTCATTGTGCACTGCGTGATGCAAGATTTTTTTTATACTACGCACACTGACCACATAGACCCATTCTCACATGTGGGCCTACCAGCTTTCTCCCGCTTGATTTGAAGCCGCTAGAATTTTGGAGTATATATATATGTCAAACACATTGGCTAGTAAGACAGATACAGTGGACCCCCGCATAACGATTACCTCCGAATGCGACCAATTATGTAAGTGTATTTATGTAAGTGCGTTTGTACGTGTATGTTTGGGGGTCTGAAATGGACTAATCTACTTCACAATATTCCTTATGGGAACAATTTCGGTCAGTACTGGCACCTGAACATACTTCTGGAGTGAAAAAATATCGTTAACCGGGGGTCCACTGTATATACAACCAAAACAGTCAAGGGTTAACCCATGAACGGTCCAAACGTATATATACGTTTTTACCGCTAGTGCCCCAAACGTATATATACGTTTTATGTATCATACATTGAACATTGCCACGATAAGACATGAGAGAATGGGTGTGAGCACTCGCTGTGTGCCATATTAAAATTGGGGATGCCTGGGTACCATATGCTCTTTTTTCCTGTTAAAAAACAATTTTTTTTTCTCAGAAAAGTTGGGGCAGTACGGTAGTGAACGTATGTATATGTTTGGACCGTTTGTGGGTTAAATAAAAAAACTGTTAAATTATTTTTTTTATTATCACACCGGCCGATTCCCACCAAGGCAGGGTGGCCCGAAAAAGAAAAACTTTCACCATCATTCACTCCATCACTGTCTTGCCAGAAGGGTGCTTTACACTACAGTTTTTAAACTGCAACATTAACACCCCTCCTTCAGAGTGCAGGCACTGTACTTCCCATCTCCAGGACTCAAGTCCGGCCTGCCGGTTTCCCTGAATCCCTTCATAAATGTTACTTTGCTCACACTCCAACAGCACGTCAAGTATTAAAAACCATTTGTCTCCATTCACTCCTATCAAACACGCTCAAGCATGCCTGCTGGAAGTCCAAGCCCCTCGCACACAAAACCTCCTTTACCCCCTCCCTCCAACCCTTCCTAGGCCGACCCCTACCCCGCCTTCCTTCCACTACAGACTGATACACTCTTGAAGTCATTCTGTTTCGCTCCATTCTCTCTACATGTCCGAACCACCTCAACAACCCTTCCTCAGCCCTCTGGACAACAGTTTTGGTAATCCCGCACCTCCTCCTAACTTCCAAACTACGAATTCTCTGCATTATATTCACACCACACATTGCCCTCAGACATGACATCTCCACTGCCTCCAGCCTTCTCCTCGCTGCAACATTCATCACCCACGCTTCACACCCATATAAGAGCGTTGGTAAAACTATACTCTCATACATTCCCCTCTTTGCCTCCAAGGACAAAGTTCTTTGTTTCCACAGACTCCTAAGTGCACCACTCACTCTTTTTCCCTCATCAATTCTATGATTCACCTCATCTTTCATAGACCCATCCGCTGACACGTCCACTCCCAAATATCTGAATACGTTCACCTCCTCCATACTCTCTCCCTCCAATCTGATATTCAATCTTTCATCACCTAATCTTTTTGTTATCCTCATAACCTTACTCTTTCCTGTATTCACCTTTAATTTTCTTCTTTTGCACACCCTACCAAATTCATCCACCAATCTCTGCAACTTCTCTTCAGAATCTCCCAAGAGCAGTGTCATCAGCAAAGAGCAGCTGTGACAACTCCCACTTTGTGTGTGATTCTTTATCTTTTAACTCCACGCCTCTTGCCAAAACCCTCGCATTTACTTCTCTTACAACCCCATCTATAAATATATTAAACAACCACGGTGACATCACACATCCTTGTCTAAGGCCTACTTTTACTGGGAAAAAATTTCCCTCTTTCCTACATACTCTAACTTGAGCCTCACTATCCTCGTAAAAACTCTTCACTGCTTTCAGTAACCTACCTCCTACACCATACACTTGCAACATCTGCCACATTGCCCCCCTATCCACCCTGTCATACGCCTTTTCCAAATCCATAAATGCCACAAAGACCTCTTTAGCCTTATCTAAATACTGTTCACTTATATGTTTCACTGTAAACACCTGGTCCACACACCCCCTACCTTTCCTAAAGCCTCCTTGTTCATCTGCTATCC